TCAAGGATAATTTATTTGTAGCGCAGAGTTTCCATTCCGGCTGTTAGAATGTATTAGGTTTTTCTCAGTTTGCAGATTTCTTTTCGTCTGATAAAGCGCGGTGTCTGTGCTTGTTCCAGCGACAACGGTTTCAATGGGAACTCCGCCCCTATTGGAGAGCCGTCTTCATCCAAGGTTGACATTTTCATCGACTTGTTGATTTGATTTCTTCTGTTTGGCTCCTTTATGCGTACTGGTGTGATTATGTTCAAAATTAATTGGGGCTTAGGATTCTCTTTGCGAGCTACAGATACTACTTTCTTTCACATTAGGGGACTGTTTGTTTTGATATATTTAGGCAGTGTTTGGTAGCATACTATTCATGAGATTTTGCTATTGATTTAACTTAAATCCAGTCAAACACCAAAAAAATGAAAATTAAATCAACTCCTTGTTAAATTGAATTTTCACCTGTTATGTCTTTTTGTTATGGTGTACCGTCTCCTTTACGACGTAAATCAGGATTTATTAAATCATTTGTGAGCTCCATTTTTGCCAAACACTGCGTTCTGTCTTTTTGTTCTGGTGTACGACGTAAATCAGGATTTACTAAATCATTTGTGAGCTCCATTTTTGCCAAACACTGGGTTTGATAAATTCGGATTTATTCAATTTACTGGATTTGATAAATCCTATTTAATGTAAATATAAGTTGCAACCAAACATCACCTTCGAGTGTAAACTATTTTAATAAAGGTATTTTAATTTACATTTGTTTGATTGGAGTGAAAAATAAATGCAAAGTAGAAATATGAGGCATTTGAAATACGCTGAGTGTGTATCTAAGCAGCATTCCAAAAATTGATTGAGAAAAGAATAAGCAAATTCTATTCGCAAATACGTGAGTCGTGTTGTTCTTCCTGTTTGCCTCCTTTTAGCTACGCTTGTCTGATTGGTTGTCCAACCTCATTGCTTGGAAAATCATAAAGATCAAGTCACAGCATTTGAGCCCGAAACAACTTGCGATTGCTATACTTTTGCCTTCGCAACCCTAATCAACTTGAATCTCTTTAAATAGCAACAACTTCAAACTCAAACGCCCTTTCATTTATTCTGATTTTCTTCTTTAGGTAACAATCTTTTTATTCAATCGTTTCTTAGAGTGAAGAGATTCTTTACATGATGAGCTTCCAATCTATTTGTGATGAATTTTTTATGAACTAGCTTATGAAGTTTCTCTATTACTGGATGGTATCTCTGCCAAATTGTTCTCCTATTATTATTCAATATTTTGTTCATCGATAAGAAACTTTTATTTTTTATTTTCATCTGCATTTTTTTAATCATTATTACTATGATAACTTATACGTTTCTCTTTAAGTTCATTTTTTTCATTAAAAATGTTATGTATGTTAGGTTATAGTATACGTAATGAATTGTGAAAATATTGTTTTGTTGAATATAAATTTATTTATGATATGCTCTAGAAATTATTAATTTGCATAATATTTAATAGTGAAATTATTATTGCATCTTAATTTAGAAGAATGCTTAAATTTCTAAGCCAAGAAGAGATTTAATTACTTTCTTTTAATAGTCGCAATGTAATTTATTGTGGTCATTATTTTGTTAACAATTTAATTCATACTATAAGTACTCACATTTCCAATTCGATCTCGAGTAGAATTGCATATATTTTAGCTTCTACTTCTTTTGTAAATCTCAGATAGTTTTGTACTTATAGCAATCATCAATACTACTTAGACCAAAATTTATATCAATCTCTTTGAACTATTCTGTTTACTTTTTATATTAGTAATTAGTAGTATCAAGAAAATTAAGTAATGAAATTTTGGCCACTTTTATTAATGTGGACATAAATGAAGAGGGATATATGCAATGAATAAAGATGAAAATTGATAAAAGCTGATAGAGAGGTAATGCATGCTTAATAGCATACTCAATTTTCTTTGGTAATTGATCACATCCACGCCAAATTGTTATCCAATTTTTATTCAATATTTGGTTACTCAATAAAAATATTTGTTTTCCATTTTAATTTGCATTTCATTACTCATTAGTACTCATGATGGATAATATATTTTTTTTTGTTATAGTTAAAGCTTGCCCGACCTCTAATTTTGTGCAAATTTTGTTTAGATCCAAAAAATCAGAGAAATGTATAGTGTTTTATCTTTAATGATTATAATTTATTCTTGAAGAATTTATTCATGTGTGTTTATAGTCGTAAATGATAGTTGGGTCAATTTTTTTCCTTTTTTATTGTCTTTCAGTAATGTCTAATTTTATATGGTGTGAACGCCATAATGACTATTATATTTGCATTATTGTGTGGGGCATGAATTAAATGATAGGAGTCTAATCTTGAATAAAATATACAACCTTTAGCATATTTCAATAGGCTACATTTATAATCTAATTCTAATTGTATTATATGGCGTGAACGGTAAAAAATATATTTTTTAGTTTATGCAATTTACTGCGCACGACACACAAGAAGATTACTTGCAGATGCATCGCATATGCTCTTTGAAAAATAATTTTTGCTATATTTGGATATGACATTCATATTCGAGTCATTCAATTTAACTTTTGAAGATTCGACAAAATTGTTTGTAAGCACTTGAATGTTAGAAAACATGTCATAAGGGAGCTCCCTTATGAATTAATTAAACCACCACTGTTACAAACTCCACAAAAGATACAAGCTAATATTAGGTTCATACATTTTCTCATGATATAATAATACATCATATTTTAAATAATTTATTTGTTTTATAGCACATGTTGTACGTGATTGCATTGGTGTTATAGACTAGACACATATTAAAGCTAGAATATCTAAGGATTATGAATCCTCATTTAGAATAAAAAATCATACCCAAGCTAGAGTGTACTAGCAACATTAGATTTTGATTTGAATTTTACATATGTTTTAGCTACTTGGGACGTTTCAACAGATAATCCAATTATTATCAGAATTATATTAGAATGATCATATGGTTTACATGTTTTAGAATTTACTAATGTTGATTTTGCATAAACTTTTATAAACATTTGTAATACTTTTAGTAAATTAACTATATTAAAATTTTACAAGTAAAGTTTATCTAATTAATGATAGTTATTTCATCAAAAATATTTTTTATATTTATATCATGCTACAAGATATCGTCTGAAACAGTTTATTAATATTATAAGACATACAAATATGAGCTGCTAATTTAATCTCCAATATTTATCGCTACAACCAATTGTGGAGTATGCATTTGATTTTTTAAAAAATCATTATGCAGTTATAAAGTACGTGCTTTATTTTTCTTTATAAATTTAAGTTGACTTTGTGTTTGCTTGTGTACGTCACATAACGGGATAATAGTTGAAGGTGAAAAATAGTTTATTCTATTAAAAAATATTTGCACTAGAAGTTGTGGTGGTAGGAGATGCAAAGCTGTGTTAGACCACTCGTGTGTTTTTGGAGAAAGAAACCATATTGCCAGTCATGTGAAGTTGTATAGAGAATGTCGCCTATTAAATATATTGAAATACTCTTTAGTATTGTAGTTTATTTTTATAAAATTTTCTTAACTGTTTATGAAGGACATGCATATTTTTTTATCATATCAGTCTTTCTTTTTTATTTCTTGGATAGAATTTTTATAAATACAAATAATTTTTTTAAAATTTTTAAATATGAGTTCTTGTTATGTTACTTACATCTACTTCTAAAAGCACAAAAAAAAAAAAAAAAAAAAAAAAAAAAAAAAAAAAAAAAGTAAGTGGATAGGTAAGTTGCTATAAATGATATATGAATCTACCGATGCAAATATGAAATGCACAAGGCTTTAAGGAAGTTGCCTACCAAGGTGTTGCCCCTGAAATTTAATGATAAATTTGGAATTAAAGTTACAACCGAGTAATGCAAAAAACAGGTTCTACATTATTGCATTGTATGTAATCATATTTAATAGTTGAGGAAGAAATCTAGAGTATTTTAGGATGAAATAAAAAAAAACTATATATTAATATCGATAGGCTATGAGCAGTATACGCTTATATTTGTTTATTTTTTCTTATCAAGTGTTATCTTTTAAGAAATATACTAGAATGAATTAATTTATGTTACAAGCTCATTTTAAGGATGCAACTTTTCTGAATATTATTATTGCAAACTACTTAGGGTTGGAGAAGGTTTGCAGTGAAAAGCATGCTATTGGAGATTGAGTCAAGTCAGCAAATAGTCAAACTCCACTTGACAATCAACAAATAAAATTGGATGATGAGGAGATTGTATATTTTATAGAAACTGCATTTATATAATACAATCAACGGGGTTGCTTGAAATGAATATTAAAGATCATTACACAAGAATATCGAAACAACCTATGTCTTTCTCCTCCAAAGGGGGTTCAAAGAGAAAAACAAGAGATCTTCTATTGATCTATGAAAGAATATATTGTTTGGATGGCTAACAGTATGACTCAAGTGGTTAATGATCTTATGACTCAAATTTTTTTCTCAAAAGATCATTACATTAAAAAAAAATGTATTGATTTGTGGGTAGGCAAGTATTTTAGAAAAAAAAATTGACAATATAAAAAGACTTTAAAAATGTGGAAATAATGTGAAAATTATGACACTTGGCAATAGTTTCTTATTATTTTCTTTTCTTCCTCTTAAAGAATTGATTTATGATATTAGATTAGGATTTGTGAAGGGATTTCTTTTTCTTGTTTAACTTTGAAAGCTTGGTATGTAAATGCATAAGATATAATTGAATAGTGTGCAAGTTAAAAACTGTTGCAATTTTATTTGGACTTGGCTGAAATGGATAACATAAAAGTTTTAAAAAAATTTATTAGCTTTCTAATAGTATAAAATTATCCAATTTCATCAAAAAATGAGCGTGTTATGACTGAAATAGCGACATAGGATCAACTGTTGTATAACATTTTGGTTTCTTTAACGTTTGTAAAACCTATAGTGATTCTATTCGAATTTGGCTGAGATGGAAAACACACAAGTTATACAAAATTTTTTATAGTTTTCCAACAATGCCAAAATCATCAAATTCTGTTAAGAAATGAGTGCTTTATGTCTAATATAAGGAGATAAGTTTGGCTGTTATTAGACAGATTTTAGTTTCTCAAACATTGTAAAAATAGTAGTGATTCTGCTCGAAATTGACTGAGATGGATAACATAAACATTATAGAAAATTTAATTAGTTTTCTAACAATATCAAAATCTTCCAATTCCATTAAGAAATGAGGACGTTATGGTTGAAATAATAAGATATGATTGGTTGTTGTAAGACATATTTCAATTTCTAACATATTGTGAAACTATAACAATTTTACTTAGAATTGACCGGAATGAATAACATAAAAGTTGTCAACATTTTTGTGAACTTTCTATAAATACAAAAATCATTCAGTTTTGATAAAAATGTGTGCATTATGGTTGAAGTAATGAGATATATTTGGCTCTTTCAAGAAAGACTTTGGTTTCTCAAACGTTCGTAAAAATTGTAACAATTCTACTGCAAATTGGATGAAATAGATAGTAAAAAAACTGGAGGAAATTTTAGTTTTCTAACAATATTAAAATTATCAAATTCCATTAAGAAATAAGCATGTTATGATTGAAATAGTGAGATAAACTCGGTTGTTCAAGACAATTATTTTTTTTCAAATATTTCTATAAACTATAGTTATGATGCAATGGAGAAAAATGATTCATGTAGCCGACCCCACGTAGTGGGATTAAGGCTTTGTTGTTGTTGTTGTATTTCTATAAACTGTAGTGTATCTACATGGGAGTGGAGGTTGTGTTTCTCTTAGGAAGCCCATTAGATAGATTGCAATTTAACTTTATTGTAAAAAAAGGTTATTTTTTCCACATGACTGGTAGCGGAACCTGGAGGGACTAAGCTTAGAGGTAGAGACTAAGCTTCACAATCTTATATGATTCATAAAGTGGTTATTTGAAATTTTTTTATTAATTTTAAATTCTAATATTAAATTTGTTGACATTGGAATTGGCCCAAGCATAGTATTTGATGATCTCATGAGGTTGAGGCAGAAACTAGATGTAAGATCCATATATATATATATATATATATATATATATGTATATACCTTCTTCTTCAGCGTGATTTCCTTCCTTTCCTTGACCGTTGTGGAATTACCAAAATTAGATCTTGCCTTTCACTCTTCTCGTCTCCTTCCACCGCCTTCACTATATGCCCGATAAGCACCGACTTCACTCCCTATAAATCAGGGCTGAATGGGTATGGTCTGCAATGCGCATCCTCACTTGCTCCCCCTCTTCTCCCGATTCCCCATCCCCACTCTCTCTCGATTTTGCTAGAAGCCACCGCCTTCCACCAAACCCCCGTGATCCAGTCACGATTGGAGCAATTAGAGAAGGGTCGTAGTTGACAGAGACCACTGAATCTTCTCCTTCTGCTCTGCTCCATCCCGAAAGGAAGGTAACCATCGTCTGCCTTTGTTTTTATTCACCTGCGCACACATCTACCTCGTTTTTTTAACCTGGGATTTTGAGCATCGGAGGAGAATCAGTATTTAAGAAGATTATAGGATTTTTTTTTTAAAGATGTCATTTTATTTATTAAATCTTTAGGTTATTATGTAAATCCCTCAAAACTTGATTTATTTATTAGAAATTCTATTTTTTCTTATATCATAATAAAACTAAAATAAAAAATATTATTATGATAATAGTAATAGTATTAATAACAGTCAGTTAGGTTGAACCTAATTTAATGAATAAATAAGTTTAATTGTTTAATAATTTTACTTTTAATGTAGAATCCATTTTCGCACTGTCGAATTTATAGAAGTGTCTCATTGCTGCCTTAAGGTAAGTATTTGTTGTTTATTGATGGATAAACCTTTTTTAGTTAGAGGCGTTAATCATTATCAATTGTGGTAGATGTGTAACTATTATATAGGATTGTCAGTCATACCTGGATTCTTCAATTATAATTATTATGTTTCATTTTTTTATGCCTCTATAGCTCATAATGAAGCAACCATCTGCTTAAATGTATTGATGCAAAATTTCTTGCATATTTAATTTAATCATGCAGTATGCTGCTTTCTTTTTCTGCAGTTGTATGAATTTGCATATGTTATATCACAAGCCTACGTAAAATATTATAACTTAAACTTGTTATACTTATGAAAACAATTTGACATGTTTGTGTGTGATGGTGTGTAGGTCGGTATAACCCTTTTGGATTTGGGCTAGGCGGGCCGATGAACCCACAGTGTGACGACTCTACTGGAAATCGTCGGGTTTTCTTGTGTTGGTATTTGACTTTCCCGATTTCAGGGTGTCTATTAAAATCTACCATATACGTATAAATGAAAACATAATAACAAGAAACTTGATGGAAAATGCTTGCATGTTTTCATATGGGATGCATAATTGATATTTATCTCTTCTGTTGGTCTTACAGTGTTACATACACATACAGTGATCTTGTAAATAATTGATAGGAGTTTATTTCCATTCATCAGCGTCACATAGCAATCTTTTCCGTGTATGCTACTTAGTGAAAGAGACCGCATTGAATTTTAATATTTTCCGTGTATGCTACTCAGTGAAAGACACCGGATTGAATTTTAAAACTCACTGCAGACTTATTTCTTTGGTTTCTATAACCATAAGAGGGATCCACAGCTTCACTTTTTTGTCCTCCCTTAGCTCTTATTTCTTGCCACCCATGGATGCAATGAAGAAGAATAAAATTGGGTTTTCCTTATCAAAGAATGTGATCCCTTGTTGAGAAAATGAGAAATTAATTATATGTTCAGCATTTACTTATTGACTATCTATTTATTGTATATTTTACGCATTTAAAAATGGCATTGTTGCAGTGAAAGAAAAGTTGAGATTAGGTGGTTCTTTATTATTTCACTTTAATTTTTTGCCAAGCTTTTTCTCACTTTTGGTTTGCTTCCAAATAAAATTTATAGTTTTTACAGCGTTTTCTTCTTGGGTTTGTTGATAGAGTTACTTTTCCATCACTTTTGATGCAAGAGAAAAAATGGAATTATTCCATGGATTGAACTTTGTCAAACAAGTCACAATCAATGACAAAATGCAGCGGAGGAAATACCAATGGCTGTGTTAAGGCTTTGTTAGTTGATTGATAGTTCATTAAATTTTGTATTTTATATCTTGCAGTAAAATTATTGTTTTTGAGATATAGTGCAGTCTTGGTATTTCTATATTTTACTATTTTACATCTATGACCAGATACATTTTGTCATAATTACATTTTCAGGAAGCATCATTTAATATGAATTTTCCAAGAAGAAACATGATCGTGCAATTCACATGCAATTCCTGTGGTGAAAGAACACAGCGTAGGATCAATAGAGCTGCCTATGAACGTGGAACTGTGTTTATTCAGGTATACTAAGAGTTTTTGTAATTAGAGTCTTCCCTTCACTTATGGAAACATGTTTTGGCGTTGGATTAAGTTCAGGACTTTCTCAAATTAATTTCATTTGGTAAATTGCATTTTATAGAAAATTATTGGCATTCATTTTATGGGTATATGATGTACTATATTAACAGCTTATCTGCAATAGCCACAGAGCATAACATTAATTGATTTTTAACATTTATATTTGGTCGTGAAAAGCAAGTTGCATTGTCAGAATTTTTCTACTTGCATTGTTGCCCCATTGCTCCTCTATAAATGTTTTTGATAGTCCAGAGCACCCTGTGCCCATCTGACACTAGTTTTTATTTGACATATTAAACATAAATTTTAATTAAAAAAGCAATCTTTAGTACTTCTCATTTCATATTACAAAATCATTATATAATACATATTGCAATGTAGAGACTTAGGAATTGAGGAAGTGTTGGATGTTTAAGCGTAGAAAAGAAGATTGTATGAAGATGACAGCTTGAACAGTCTTTTTTTGCATATTTTTGGCTGCTGAAACAATGGATAATTTATACTAGGTGAGAACTCATAGAATCAGAGACGGATACCATCTTAAAGGCTTTGATTACACTGCAGGTTTTAATTTAATATAAAGAATTTACTGCAGGTCATGGCGGCTGTCTTACCAGAGTTTGCTATAATGAGATGTGTTTCTGGAGGAAGTGGCAAAGAGCTATGCCAGTATTATTTGGGTTACTAGTTAGTGCTTGGGCCATTATCTTGTTTCGCAAGTGAGTGGAAAACGCCATGGATAGAACTTTGGTGAAGATGCACGGTGGTTGATATTCAGTTGTAATATAATGTATGGCAATGTCACTGGACTAGATAAAGTTGCGGGTGAAATGGTAGTTTACCTCAGTGTGTTTAGCTCAAGAATGAAATGTTGGTTTGTTGGTGAGTATGCGGCGGAGATGTTGTCATGATAGAGTGAGTAGTGGCTTAGCCACAAAATGCCGGTGGCTATGGCGGTGTGGGCTCGATGTTCTATTTCCATGAGAGGATTGGACAACAATTTTTTGTTTCTTGATACACTAGGATATAGAAGTTTTTCTTAGAAAGACACAATAGGCTGGTAAATTTCTTATCATTTGGTAGATGGCCCAACCTAATTCTTAGTGGGCGTGTGGTGAGTTGAAGTTACTATGAATTGGTAGTCCATAAAGTGTTGTTCCTTTAGTGCAATAAAGGAGTTGTTTAAGTGGTTAGAAATGCAGGCTTAATGGATGATGCATGTATTGGGGGATTTTATTGGATAAAATAGGAAATGTCAGGTCTTTTGATAATTAGATATTGTAGGGAGATAACTAGATATCTATATAGCTTGTGTTGGGAGTGGTATGGATGGGTTTGCCTGTGAATGATGGTTTTGTGGGGATGGAATTAGGAATAGCTTTGTAACCGGTCACAATTTGCCCAATGAAGTATTTAATGCACTTATATGGGCTAGATGAGGCTTCCCATAGACGCAAGCTCCAATGAAATTATCTGGAGAACACTTTCATCTAAGGTTAGTCATTAAGACGTTGATTACTCAACATATATTAGCAACAATTTAGCGTTTTGCATTGTGAAATTTGATTGAATTTTAAACTATATAAATTTATCATTAAAAACAAATTGAAATGATGACAAACTCGATCAAAATCTCATGATTTCGTCATCCCAAGTTACCGTGAACCTAGTCTATTTAGTCAGATGAGCTAGTCGATCCAACCTGGCCAAAAGATCTTTGTCAACAGTCATGGGTTGCTTTGTCAAAGACAACCTTTTAGGTCTGGGGTGAATGTTTGAGTAGATTAATTTAAGTTAACTTCAGCTAACAATGTCTAATTAAATATACCTTCTCAAAAAGGAGAGTTATTGAGGAACATACAAAATATAACTATGATCGTAATTTAATATTGTTATTTAATGACAAACTATCCTGTTAGAGGGATTAGTTAGTAACTTCTTTTTTCTGGAGACGGCTGGCCAAGCCATGTAGATAGAGGACACGAACCATGTATTTACTGGCACAAGTTGATTTAAGAGTGAATGTAGTAATATACATGATGTGATATTGACTCTATGTGAGGTTAGATCAACCATAAACTCGTTGCCCTCAACAAACATGTGCAAAGAGTGGATGAATGTTATTTTTATGAATTTTAAAATTTTATCAAAATGTTATATATTTTGGATGATTTTTTAAAGTGATTTTAATTTGTTATTTTATAATTTTTATGAATTTTAAAATTTTATCAAATTTTATCAAAATGTTATATATTTTAAGAGTGAATGTAGTAATATAAATGATGTGATATTAGCTCTTTGTGAGCTTAGATCAATCATAAACTTGTTGCGCTCAACAAACATGTGCAAAGAGTGGATGAATTTTTATTTTTTAGTGATTTTAATTTGATATTTTATAATTTTTAATGAATTTTAAAAATATCAAATTTTATCAAAATGCTATATATTTTGGTAATTTATCCATTCTATTTGAAATTTATAATCAACAAGATCATCATGCGAGAAAGATTGGATTGTTAAACTTGAACCCTATCAATTTTATGTCTTTCTGTTAAAGGATCAGGTTTAGGATTGACATATGATTGAGTATAAACATTGTCAATTATGTCCTACTTACAGAAGACTGTGCAAAGTTTATCTCATTTGAATTTTAGAAATATACTTTGAGATTTAATTTTGAAAATAAATTCTTTTAGTTGAAATTTACTATCAACACGATCATTATCGGGGCTAAAAATGGAGATAATTGAATTTGTTCGAATAGAATTTGAAGTTTAATTTTAAAAGTTGATCTCTTCGATTGGAATCTTCCATCAACTCATCCATTATCGTGAAATTGATTTGACAGCTTGATGTGAACATTGTCAACTCTATCATGCTTACAACAAATCAAGTTCATAATATTGAACTTTTTTTTTATATTATAGATCTATTGACTCTATCTTTTTCACAGAGGATTGGGTCTATGAGTTAATCTCATTATTGTTCTGAAAAATGTTATATTATTAAGATTTTTGGTTTAAAATATATCCTTTTAATAAAAATCTTAATAATTTCATGTTAATATATAGATAAAATATCCCAAAGTTTCTTTTATAAAATCAATATGCAATTATTATTTAGTCTCGTCAGTTTTCATCCCTACATGAAGAAGGATTAGACCAACTAATTGGAAGCTTAATCTCGTTGAATTTCGTCCCCATCACGAGGAGAATCAAATTGAACTGGTGAGAATTATGTTTTGATTGAGACCATGCATATGCATAATTTGATATTTTGATCTGATTTTAAAAATATGGATTTTCTAAAATTTGCTTGCACACTTTTAAAGTGCGATAATTTAACTTTATTTTACATTTTTTTTACCCACGTAATATTTTCAACGGTTCAAATTTAATCTTTTAGGTCAACATTGGAGCACATGCGGGTTAGTCTATAGATTTGCATGCATTTCAATGTGTTCTAGGATATGATTGCATGCTCTGAGATGCACATTCAAATATTATGCTATTATGCATTCCTTTGAGGTAGATGCACGGTAATCGGTGCATTTTCACTCACTTCAAAATAATCTTTTTAGATAAAAATAACTTCAAAAATTTTGTTAAGTGACCAATTCTATTAATTTTCAGTGCATGGGCGAATAATTAATTATTAAATTGTGCACAAATATTTCATTTAATCTTAGATCCCGCCTTATATCCACTCGCACTAATATTGATGATCCAGTGGTGATTTAGCAAACTACAATACTTTGGGTACTGAGAATTTCAATGTTTTTATTTTCATATATTCATTATTCATTGAGTTGGGTCGCACAACCATCCTTAAAGTTTATTTGTTTCAAAATTTATTTGTTGCAAAATTTTGAAAGTTGTGGATTGTTCGCTCAGAAAGATTTTATTTGCATTTGTGAATGAGCTGTCGAATTCATTACATGTTGCGCTCGTGTTCGTAAGTGAGCTATCGAGTCTCCTGTAGATTGTGCTTAATGTTCAAATTTTTGTAAAGTATTTTCATTTGAATCTCAGTTTTTTTGCTCTAATTTTATAATTAATCGTACAGCTTTGTTCAGTTAATTTGAATCTTTTATTTTGTTCCTTTTAAGTTTTGTTTAGGTCATATTTAGGTCAAGTTTAAATTCCGTGTTAGTCGGAATTTGGTCAGCATTTTGATGCCTCCGCATAGAGGAGGGTAGTGAGAGGAGTAACAAGTCTTCCCAACACAACTGAAAAGATGTGCATGCTAGAGTCATGAAACACCTCGGCCAAAGAGTTTTCTAACCCACCGTGCTTAAAAAAAATAGCATAGACCTTCCAGTACCAATGTAAAAGACAGTATTAAGTGGTTTGCTTAACCCTGCACATTAATATTGATCTCTCTTTAATAGCTGTTTGTATTTTATTAACCATGCTGAAGTACAATATATGTCGACGCATAATGATTTTCGGGCGGGTTTAGTTAGAACCCAGGCCATTTCAACGCATTTTATGTAGTATTTTATGCTTCGTATTATTATTCCTCCTTTCAAAACCTTTTTGATTCCATACAGAGCTGCGTGCTTTGGCCTGCGTAGCATTGCAGCACACTTAATGTATTTGTTTTATTTAAAATTAGAGGCATTCACATACGTACCTTCCAATTAATATGCTTTTACATATTTAATACCTAAACTTTGGTTTTTACATTTATACCACCCACATCTTTCATATCACATATAAAATACCACTTAACTATTAAAATTCAAAATACAACTTTTCATGCATATGTAAGGTGGCATATGCAAAAAATTGAAGCTTAGATGTTAGATATGTAAATGCATAAGAATTGAGTGTTATTTGCGTAATTCCTCCTTAAAAAATTATAATCTTTCATCAACTGATGCCAGATTTCACCAGTGTGCAGGATGCCTGCTGAATCATAAACTTGTGGACAATCTTGGTCTTGTGGTTGAGTATGATCTTCGGGAAAAGCTTGATACAGATTTTGATGGCCCTCAATAGACAGGTGGTTTCCATGCCCCTCTTCATAAGTTATATAGCTAATTTGTATTTTTTCTTGCCTTCTGTTTAGACAGGAACTCGTGATTATAAAAAACTGTATATTGTGAGGTAGTAAATGTCCATGCAATAATTATTTTTTTGGTTAAATCACATTTTTCTTTCCGTTAGGCAAATGTGATTAAGAAGAGGAAGGATATTTGTGTATGTATTTTGCCTCCATGCTGCAGCGGTTAAAGTGCCCAAAAGTACTCTTCTGTTTTAAAAATACAGCCCTTAGAATGTTAATTATTTTATGATCTCCTCATTATCTATTATATAAATATATGTTATTTTATGATCTAAGTTTTCAGTTTTCACATTGTTTTTTGTCAGAACAGCCGTTGACCTCCCTTGTTTTTTCCTCTTAGGGCTGTATCTGATGGTGCTCCGGGCGATCTCACTCTGAGGTGATGATTATCCTCGACTTTCTCATCTCTGCAACCTACACCTCTCTTGCCATAGCTGCTGGACAGCCCTTTGTGGCTGTTCTTCCACAGTCCACTTTGTGCTGCTGCCTCCCAGGCCCATCTCCCACTCCCTTGCTGCTGCCTACAACCCGCACCTACTGCTCCAGCCGCTAACTCTCCCTAGCCCTTAACCTTTCTCCCCTCACCAATTTGCATCCCATCCGACATCAGGTTTGCCACTGCCCTTTTCCAACCTTTCCACCCTTCAAGCTGATCTCCAACTAACCCTCCTTCACCTGCTTGTCCAGTAGCACCTGCTGTTGCTGCAACCCACAGCAGGCCTCCATCCACCGCAGAACCTTGCAGCCAACCAACCAACTGCTGTCCAGTTGGTGTTTGTTTCCTTTGTTTTCACCGTAGAATGTCGTTGTGTTTGTTATCATTTATGTCCTGTTTTCAGGACTCTTGGTTGTAACCCCTCTGAATTTCAACAGTAAGATTTGTATTTCTTCGTGGTTTGGGTTATCTCCGGTATCACAAAACTAGCACCATAGGCGCATATATGATATGAAAAATATGAAAATAAAGATCTATGTGGTATACAACTTGAAAAGTGCTACAAAATTGATAAAATTATCTTCTCACAAAATTAACAAGGCGTGAGAATTTCTCACCAAATTGGACCACTCTTTCTCGAAAGAAAACCATAAGAAGAGAGGAAAACTTATCTCACCAAATCTCCAAAATATGACAAATTGGCCTTCTCTCAAATTATCTAAATGCAAAATCCCTATAGAGGTAGCCGAAGAACTCCTCTCAATTGCAATCTCTCCTAGAAGCAGCTCAAACAGTCATTCTTCCCATTTTAGGTGTGTGGATGAATAGGATAGAGTTAAGGCTTTACATAATATTGCTTAAATGTCCTGCTGCTTAAATTTCTTTAACTGGTGCCGATACTGTCAGTATTATCAAAACAGAATCTGCCACAGCAGAAAACAGCTCTAACCAAATATGAGCGCTTCCACCATTCTCTGCACCAAGCTTAATCAGAAACGTTAATCAATAACCACCTTCACCATACCTATCCATTGCATATCAAACTCTACCACTATTTACCATCTATATAAAGTTCCGTAGTTCAGCTTTTGTAACGTGGAGGAATTCTCAATTTAGTAGTATGAAGTAAATCGTTTCTGCATTCTTCTTCCTCTTCCTATAACTTTCTTTGTATAATCTCTGCCTTGTTGAAAAACTCTATAATAACATCCCAAGTCCACGCTAGTTCGTAGCGTTTATTTTTATTTCCGGTAGTTTTCATTATTAGCATAACTGTGGCACAATTCTTCCGTATAATACAGATCCAATCCTTGTTATAATTAATAATATGAGAATTGAACATCTTTAGCAATTGAATGCAAGTCCTCTCCAGTATGAGGGGACTAGGAAGCTCTTGTGTTGAAATGAATCATTCGTAACACACTCCTGCAAAACACACCAAAGCAGTTGTCCATGGCCCATAAACTGCAATGCTTCCCCTCTCTAATCAAGGAAAAAAATCTTACATACTTTTAAACGTATGAACATCCACAGTGAAGATGAGTGGAAAAAAAAATGGAGACCCCTGTGCATCTGTAGCATTCGTTATCGGTATATACAGAGAACGTATGTAATATTTGCTTCTAATCAAGGGAAAAAAACACGTAATTACACCACTATGCTGTTCTCCGAGCGGCATATTCTTATTGTTTTGAACTATCAATCATGAGGTACTCATATCATTAAATGCAGGCATATAAGTTATTTTCTTTGGTCAACTAGTCACACCTGTAGTCATGACTTCTTATTTTAGTCTTGTTCCAGATTATATTAGACATTGTGTGATGTAAGGAGATTACTTTTACTATTGAAGCCAAGTTTTATGTTGCTCTTATAGTCCTAATTCTATTATACTCTAGGAAGATTTACATACATAACCATCAATTCATATGTATTTACATATCTAACACCTAAATTTCAATTTTTACATACATGCCACCTTAGCAATGCATCAAAAGGTGTATTTCATTTTTTAAATTTTAAAACGGTGGTATATTTTATGTGGTATGAAAGATTTGGGTGGTATAACTATAAAAAATATATTTTAACCATGAAGGTATAGATGCAATGAAGATAATCAATTCCGTATTGTCTCATAAGGAAACTCTCTAGAGTTTATTAATGGAGGCTTAAAGAGTTTTCTTAAAATGTATCCTGATCTTAGTTCTCTCTTTCTTTTTGCGTCTCACTCATTTAGAGTTTGATAAAGAATTCTTTTATATTTAGTGCATAAGCTAACAACTCTATTTCTATTAGAAAAAATAAAGTACTGCTTGATCATGCAACATAAATCTCGATCATATTATATGATTTATTTAAACTAATCCATAGATCATTTGATGTTTCTACTTATTAATTAAATTATTTAAAAAAATTTATCATATAACATAGCATGCATCTTATAGTATGAATAGTTTAAAATTTGAATTAATCTAATTAAGGTGTCCCACAACCTCATAATTGGTAGAGAATTTTTTGGATTTCAATTCAATGAGACGAGCTCAATTGAGCTCGGGGGTACTTGATTTAGCGCACCAAGTAGATAATTAAAATCAACTCATTATATGCATTATAATAGCAAGAAAAAAACCCAATAAGAACAAGTTCATGAAAAAGCGGCACTTTTTAAAGCTCTATATTTCAGTTATTAAAACAATAATAACAAGCCTTTATCCCACTAAGTGTGGTCGGCTAAATGAATTCATTTTCTCGATTGTGTTCTATTCAGTGTCATATCTTCATTTAATTCTAATAAATTAAGATCATTTTTTATACATGTCTAGGTCTTTTTAGGTCTAGGTCTTTTTAGGTCTACATGTCTAGGTCTTTTTAGGTCTACCTCTACTTTCTTAACATGAGTCGAATCTAAAATATTTACTCTCCTAATCTGTACATTAGATGATTGACGTTTAATGTGACCAAACCATCTAAGATGACTATCTCTAATACTGTCGGAGGTACACCAACCCTTTCACTGATACATTCATTTCGCATTTTGTCTCTAAGTGTCAAACTACTCATCCAACTAAGCATTCTCATCCAACAACACTTAACTTAGTTTTATGCTTCTCTTTTATAAGTCAATATTGTGCGCTATAAAATATTGCAGGTCTCACCACCATCTTATAAAATTTGCCTTTTAAGTCTACATAGTGCTTTTCTATCACACAATAGGTTTAATGCATTCCTCCACTTTATCCAGCCAATTTGAATTCTACTAATAACATCCCTATCAATATCACTATCACTTTGAACAATAGACCCGAGATATCTAAAACGTTCACTTTTTTTAATGATTTGATCACCCTTTGTTACAACTCTACCACTATATCTACTACTATTAAAATTATATTTCATTTGTTAAGCTATAGATCTACTCAAATGAAGGTCTTATGACTCTAATGTAAACCCCCATAATTGAAGTTTGTCCTGAACTATTTATGTAGTCTCATCCGCAAGAAGGATATCATCAGTGAAAAACATACAACAAGTGACATTCTTCTGTGCATGTCCAATAAGTGAATCCATAACTAAAGCAATAAGATGTGAGCTTAAAATCGATTCCTTATATAATCCAATTGAAATAGGAAAATAATTGGTCAATCCTCCTCCTCTTCTATTTGAACATAACTACATAAGTAACAGCTCTAGTATACATATCTTTAATGACTTGAATGTAAGTCATATCAATACATTTCTTTTCTAGAATTCTCAAAGAATTTATCTTCGAACCTTATCGTAAGCCTTATCGTAAGCCTTTTCTAAATAAATAAAAATCATAGGTAGATCCACTATCTCTGTACTTTTTCGTCAATTCTCTCAATAAATGTATAGCTTCCATAGTAGACTTATCCGTCATAAATTCAAATTAATTATGAGAAATTTTTGTATCACGTCTTAACCTATATTCAGTTACTCTCTTCCATAATATTAATGTATGCCACATTAACTTAATTCTTCTATAATTTGCCTAAAATTTAGTGAAGCTAAATAGATATGATGATCCTTAATCTTGGCGATTGATTAAGGTTATAAGTAATGCGAAAATCAAGTCGGTACACCTCATTTAATCACTTGTACTTCTTGCCTTTTTTTTTCTTAATGTTTTATATCTATTTAGAATATATAGTTTCTAACTTAACAAATAATTTAAACTATCAAATTTTTATATTAACTATTATATGAAAAGCTAAACCTAATGTGATATTATGTATTTGATTGCTCATTAATGAGCTTGGTGGTCATAATGATAGATATAAAGAAATAAATGAATAAAAAGTAGTAATAATAAGCTTCAACTCCATCCAACAATTGTTTTGAGAATGTTGAGGTTTAGTAGTTTGTTTAAGGTGCAATTTATGTTAAATGAAAGATAGAAGAAATGAAATTTTTATCTTCAATGGTTTGGCACATACAATGTGAACTCTTCCATAGAAAAAAGCAGCTGAAACACTTTTAATATTCTTCTGATTATCCTCCACTATGACATATAAAAGAAGAAGAAATATTCTCCTTGTTTGATTTTTTTTTTTCCTTCATTAGAGGCTCTTTATTCTGATTCCTTTCTTTGCTGATTTGTTTCTCTTGCATTTATCTATTTGCTGATTTTCTTCTCCACTTTTTTGGTTCAGAAGAAACTGAGTAGTTCAAATTTAACTATTATTATCTCTTGTAAAGAAGGCATGGGGCATTTACATACATACCATACAATTCTTATGTATTTACTATCTTACATGTAAACTTCGCTTCTTCTTTTTTTTTTGGTTACATTTATAACACAAAATTATCCTATGACATCAAAAATACCCACTATTAGGTGAAATACATATTTTCATGTATAGGCAGAGCGGTATAAATGTAAAAATTAAGATTTAGGTGTTAGATATGTAAATAGATAGGAATTGTGTGGTATGTATGTATGTAATCTTCCTATTATTTTTTCATGTTTTAACTAAGGTTTGATAAAACATTTATCAAAAAAGAATCTTACAACTACACCCACACAAATATATAAAAAAAATGAATGAAAGCTTAAATGGGAGGGGGAAAAAAAAAAAAAACTCGTTGAAAACCATGCAAATTATGTCTCCTTTTCTCACTTGCTCTCTTAACGAATCTCACCCAGCGTTAGCAGCTATAAATATAGCTACATATATCAAATTAGAACATCTTTAGTCCATTAGATGACTTTAATTTTCTTCCTTCTCTTCGTCGCTACCACAACCAAAGTTCATGCAAGAACCCTCCTGGGTGAACTTGTTGCTCTCGATGATAGCAAGCTCTTTGGGGATGACGGTGGCGGCGGCCATGGCTTTGGTGTTGGAGTTAGTCGACATGGGTCTGACATCAACATTGGTATTGGTGGAGGTGCTGGTGGAGGCATTGGGAGCAAAAGAGGTGGTGGTTTGAGTACCGGAGGAGGGGTTGGCGTCGGAGTTGCGATAGACGCGAGCAGGCATGGTGTTGATGTTGGCATTGGAGTGGGTGGCGCGGGCGCAGTGGGGGCGGAGAATGTGGGTGGTG